ATATATATTAATATTGAACTCCTCAATAACCGACTTGAGGCAATTATACATCATTTTTTTGAAGATACAGTTAAATTGAGGAGGAGAGTTCAAGCAATATTATGGTCTATAGCTGGTCAGGAGTCAGTTTCAGCACCACCTTTGTAAATTGGAATTACTTTGGCAAGTTTTATCCAAATTCAATTGATTTATTGATTACAGTAGCATAGATAGAGCGTGGCTGCATTGCTAATAATATGTTAAGCCAATCTTAAAAAGTGAGTTGGAAATGAATACACCCTGTGTGCCTTGTCTGGTTGAATAGTCATTATTTCAGAGTCAATTTTAGAAGGCAATTCAATCCTCTCACACCTAAAAATGTGATCACATAATCATTATATTGATAATACATTGAAAGCCGGATGGAAAATGTTTACCAGTTTAATCAATAACTCCCAAGATCTGATTGATAATTCTGGAGAATTTTGTGTTCAATCAAGGTAAAAGCTTCTACCTGATAAGTTTGAGTATTCTCATTACCTGTTAGCTGGAAAATGTATGGATATTAAAGGGACAAGTTACATGTTAATCACCTCTGGGAGTTTAGGGTTCCATTGTTAATATCATTCCTGCTGTACAGTGAAAATTTTCTTTTTTTCCTGTCATGTTTATTGTAAATAAAACACAAGCTTAGTGTTAATTAATTGCACATTATTGAATATTAACTACTTTAAGTTTAATGTGGCATTCAATATTATAACTTTTCTCAACCTAAAGTTATGTAACTTAGTCAATATATCTGTGTGGTTGTTCTACATATCCACAACAGATAGGCTGCTATCTGATCAACTCAATGTCTACAGTTCTGTGACAAATAGTAACATGTTGCAGATATCTAAATGCCTCTACAGCATGTAACTGGTAAACAAAATGAAAATGAATTTCTGCTCAACACTTGTCTGCTTGATATTGTATTGATGTTGTAAGGAGAAATTCTGTCTTGGTCACTCTTGGGAGTTAAAGAGTTAAATAGCTGATAAGGGACTGGAGCCCACTAAGCTATGTTAATCCTTTAACTCCCACAAGTGATCAAGAGATAATTTCTCCATACATTATCAATACAATATAAAGTAGACAAGAGAGGAGAATAAAGAAAAATATCAACAAGAGGATTTTAGGTTGATCCAATACTAACATTATGAGAATTGTATGGCAGACAGCAAGGAAAATTACCAATGAGAGCTTGGGAATGAAAGTGTCTACTATAATATTAAGTGCTTGAAATCCTGAGCTGGAATAAGATTTTTTTAAAGTATTATACTAAACATGAAGATAAAGATGTTAATAATTCACTTCTGAGCTTATTTCAGGAAGAAGTCAGCTCCATGCCAGGTGCATCACAGTCTTGGTATTCACGTGAGGTAAGAAAATTACCTGTAAAATGAACAGATATTGAACATTATTTTCATTGATATCTTATATCACTTTTCTTAAAGTATGTGAATTAAATCTTAAGTGATATAATTATCATGATATCATGGTTGATAGGAATTTCTGGCTTATTTCAGCTATATTTATTCAAGAGGCGATAAGGGTGGGGAGGGGAGCACTCACTGAGCTGCACAGGTTTCACCCACATCAAAAACTTTAAAATGCATAAAAAAAAAAACAGATATTGAATAACTTTCAGATTCACATAATTATTGCAAAAAGCAAAAGTTCATGGGGGTCATGAAAATCAAAAACAATCAATTGACTGCTTGAGGCAAATTCCTATCACCCCCTCTGTGAAGATGACAAATGAATGAGAGAACAACGACCTGGTTTGATTGGCTTTCTGAACACATTGTATTTGTAATGGCTCATCAAGCACATACTTATTAGATAATTTTGCTTTCACTGAGAAGAGTAAATTATTTGTCTCTGTACATTCTAGGAAGAAATTAATAACTACTTCTGGAGTCTGCTACTTTTGGAGTTCATCTATAAGTAAGAATCCTGTTTGTAACTTGCTGCAATATACATCACTATATATAATAGAAGAAAAGTGTCCATTTCTGATACTCATGCAATTTGAATTCACATAATTTATTTTGACCCTGTCAAGTTAGATGATTTATCGACTCTAAGTAACTCACCAACACTAATGAATAATTATGTTTAAGGCCACCCAAGAATCTCAGTGAGACTAAAAATTTGCATTCCATTTAGTTACCCCAGTAAGGGTACTCCACGGAGTAGGGCTCTGTGTTTTCTCATCTCCGAATTACGTTAGTTATATTGACATTAATTGCCAAGAGTTGAAAAATATACTTTTGGTGCTCTTTTCTGTTGACAGTTTAGTTACTCAATAAACTCAAAGGGGGTCAATTTAAACAGACTTATTTACCATAATCTGGCTCTCAGATGAGCAATATATTGGCTTATCTTTTGGCTTATTCATTTCATTATCTATTTTATTACATCCATTTAGAAATCATTGATGGTCCCTGTAACCTGATTGGCTCTAATTGGTGCGATTTATTCACGAATCGCACCATTTTTTGCTCTAAATCGCATCATTTTACGCACGCTTGACTGAGTTTTTGACACATGACATCAGTCTTTCTGTTTTGCATACAAAATAAGATGTAAAAGCACCTGGTTCCACTTATTGTTTAAAAACCGGCTCAGTACTGCATCAGTAAAATATTTGAATTGACCAAGTCCTGTATTTGGGCAATTTCAAAATGGATGTAATGAAGTGGTACTTGAACCTCGTGTCGTGCAATTTAGGTCTGAAATCATATTTGTGATTTCAAATCAAACTCGCGCTGCGCGCTTGTTCGATTTTGAAATCACGCGTATGATTTCAGCCCAAATTGCACTCCACTCAGTTCAATTACCATTATATATCATAATAATTACAGTAGTCTTGTGTTAATTCTTTTGAGCCATTAATTGAAATGAAAGAAAGGGATCGTTTTTTCTAGATTATGTTCAGCTGTAATCCTGTTATTGCACTTCTTTGTTATGCTTAATATTACCTCCATGAGATAATAGTAATCATCATAAAGATGCCATGCTAATTGTTGTAAAATCAAGTAGAACAAAAGGCTTTGTCTTGCACTTAATTGCAAAGGAAGTTTGTTTCCTTGATCTGATATATTACATGTTTTAATTGTGCTGTGCACTGAACATTTCTTTCCTTGTATCAGTATATACAATTTAAGTTTCAACTGAAATTTTAATTTTCTCTTTATTCAAAGAAAAATATGTACATTATACAACTCAGTTGGTGAGAATGAGTGCATGGATCCTGATACAGTAGAACACTGCAAGGGACTAACTGAAGCAGTTGAAGAAAAATGAAGAGAGCATCAAAGGATGAGCTCAAGAAAACTGCAGGAGGTATGCTAAGGCTAATAGTATAAACACATGGCCTCTTTTATCTGGATAACTACCTGTACTGTGTCGTGGGAGCCAAGGTAGCCTAATGTTTGGTGCCCTGGACTCAGGGTGGAGTGGTCTGGATTAGATTTAGATCTGGCCAGGTTATGCACAACTGTGTTGTGTTCTTTGGCAATACTCTTCACTTTCACAGTTCCTCTGTCCACCCAGGATTATAAGTGGGTGGCTAGCAAATTATCAGAGAAGCCTGATGAATATATTAATACTGGGAGTGAGCCTTACAATGACAGATATCCTACCCAAGGCAGAAAAGTAGTTGTGCTACCTGCAGTTGCTTTATGCTATAGAAATATATATTTTGACATCATGGAGAGGGATGTAAAATGTACCAAACAATAAATTAATACTCTTCTAAAAAAGGCTTTACTTTATCTATTTTATAAACATGCAGATTTCCTACCCTGATCTCTGGAACTCACCTTTTTGGAATGCAAAAGAAATAACTACTGATTTTGTAGCTCCTGCTACCTTATAATCCCTTTTCATGCCCATGTAAAAAATGTGAACTGCATGAATCATTAGTATAACTGCTAACTTGTCTTTATGGGTCTGTTTATGTTATGAAGGACTGGTTTGATGGTGAAAACATTTCCTAATGAGGTTGAACTAATGTCTGTAGGCGGAAGAGAATGGCAAGGAAACAATGATAATGGTGACCCACCTGAATGCAGTGTCCATCTCCCAGATCTGTCTGACCTTCCATCTGCAGTTACAGTTCAACACCAAAGCCAGCCAGATGTTCTTTTAGTGACTGTTGAAGACTGCGAGTTCTTAAGTTGCTATGCATACCTGAAGAATCCACTTAAACACTATGTTCATGGTCTTGGTTATGTCTACTTTGGCATAATTGGTGATGAAGAGCATGAACATGTGAAAGTTGGATTGATGAAATGCTATGAGGGCTCCATTGGTCCTGGCAGTTCTTTGATTACTGTAAAAGATGCTGTCCCTTCTCTTCAGCCCAAGGCAGTTATTTCTGTGGGATATTGCAGTGGCATGAGCCGTGAAAATGCAAAACTGGGAGATGTGGTTGTGTGTGCAAAGCTCACAACATATGCACCCAGGATTGTTTTGGATACTGAAGAGAAATCCACTGGAACAAGAACTCTTGTCAGTCGAAATTTCCTGCACCTCATCAAAAATGTTGCTGATGGGTGGAAAGCACCACTGAAAAATCCTGAAACAGGAAAAGTGGGAGTACATACAGGTGGCGAGTTTTTAAGTGGTCCAGAGAGGATCAACGCAGACTGGCGGTGTGCAGAACTCCTCAAAGAATACCCCCTGGCTATTGCAATTGAGCAGGAAGGAGAAGGTGATTCATGGTTCTGTTCCTTCTCAAGTATTATGTACCATTAACTGTGTACCTTAAGATGCCTGGGCGCTGGAGTTTCAACTGTAATTAACAGTGTGACAGATGATAACTCCACAAAGCATACCACACCCTGTCTGTGCATACGGAATCCTTTAAATTACACTTCATTAATGGTGGCAGACACGTAATACTATTTGCCAGGCATTTTTGCATTCTTGTACCAGTACACCAATTGCAATACTGTGCTTTAGTAAGTCCCGAGACTGAACTGAAAATCTTTTAGCATACTAGATCACTAAGTGAGCTGCAAATGCAGGGGGTTGAGAGTTCCAAATTGACAAGCTATGAAAGGGTCATTGCGATGTATTTTGGGGGACTATATTTTCATAGTACCCCTCTGGACCCCGATTTGTGTATAGCAGTTAAATGTCAAGAAACAAGGTGAAGCATACCCTATTATGAGCGATATCCTGTGGGAGACAAGCAGCCCATATCTGACAAGAATCAAGCCCTCATTTCATAATTTGGAAACGGGATAATTTCTAGTAATATAAGCCATTAAGTATGCTCACCAGAGAGAAGACAATTATAATTTGGAATATCAGCCTAATGAACCTTTCACGGTTTTGATTCTTTTAAAGAGCAGAAGATTGGGAAACAATTAAACCTCAAAAATAACTTGAAAACTAATTAGGTAATTAAGTGTTCATCATCCAAATTACTCTGACATATTTAGCTTTTCTTTCCTTTTTATTACAGGAGTGTTCACGGCTACATTTGATCTTGGCATTGAGTGGCTCTTAGTAAAAGGTATTGCAGATTTCGCTGATGGCACAGACACTAGAAGTTCTTGGAAACGTTTTGCAAGCGTCATGGCAGCATCTGTTGTTTTTCATTTGCTGAGTGATCCTAATGTTTTTAAAGACTGGCCTCATTACAAAGGTAGCGGTAGTTTTGGGTTAAAACCTGGTTTTCCTAATTCACTTGTTATGTATTTTCAATCATTTGGGATAATTTCTATCAAATTGTATGGATATGCTAGTGCTTTTTAGATGCAATCTGATCAGTATAGGATGGCTAGTGAATCCCTGCATAGGCCTTGATTTTGTTCCAAGCTTAAATTATTCAAAGTATTAGGGTCTCTTTACACGAGAACAGATGAATTTGAATTTTTTGTCATAACCCCGTCGAGATGACCTTGGTTAAAAGGCTTTTTCGAGTTTCTGATAGCTTTGCCCAAAATAAATTTAGGCTCATTTAAAATACATTCCTCTTTGTCAACAACTTCCATACATGAATATTCTATTTAAAACTACGAACTTACAACGAAGTTGTCATGAAACTCTCTCTTGTAGAAAACATTAGAAGTGGCTTTGAAACGCTGAAAACCGATGTTGGAAAGTTAAGTGACAGGCTGGAGGCTTTGATAGAAGGACAAGGAAGATTAATGGATCAAGGTTAGTTCTTTGGAGGCACCGTCATTAATATTACGCGGCTCCATTGCGTTGTTTATAGTCTCATGTACGTAACTGAGAATTCAGCTACTTTTGAAAGTTAAGAAGACATTCTTTGTGATTGGATATGAATCAAAGGGAGTTTTCTGTGCACCACTTGAGCGTACATTTTGTTGCGACTCCTTTGAAATACTCAGGTAGTGGTGCTCGAAAACTACTATGATGGTCTGCCAAACACTGATGAAAGATAAACTTCTCCTAAAAATTGATTTTTTTTCTCTTATTGGTAGTAAGCTAGAAATAAAATTTTGAGATTAAATTCAAGCTGCAAATGTACATGTTTGCTATACTAGGTTCATGTGAATTTCAAATGGTGAAACAAAAGTTGGATGCCTTGAAGAGTGGGCTTCCACCTAACGAGAGACCGAGGATGGAAGGTAAACGCTTTTAGTGTTGATGTTAATTGTTAGTGTTGGATGCTAAATGTAAGTGTAGATTTCAAATCTGTTATATAGTGTTTTCAGCGGAAATTGATAAGTGGCAAAAACTGTTTTGCAGAAAGTACCAGAGAAAAACTAACGGAGATAAAAGGTGAAATTCGAGTGATGAAACAAAAATTGAATGACTGGATGAGCGGGCCACCTTCTAACAAGAGACCTAGGATGGAAGGTAAACGCTTTTACGTAAAGAATGTTGGTGTTGGATGATTTTGAAAAAGGAAATGGCGACAGAGTGTGTAAAATCTTCATATGTTCTATGAAGCCAAAAAGAGACACAATTCTGGGACTGATCATACCACTTCATGGAAATTTCAACTTGACAAAGGGTTACGGGATAGATTACAATGTGATGCCAGAGAAGCAACTTGAGACACATTTTTTGAGCTGGTTGCTGGTAGCAACACAAAATAGAACAAACAGCTAAAAGAGAGATGTCCTGCCTTTTCCCGCCAAGAATAAGTACCAAGAGTTTCTTAAGATTATTTGGTAGGTGTCGTGATTTAAGGCTTCCAGGTGTAGTCACGAAATCTCGAGTTTTTTGTCCGTGTTTTTATTATTCTTCCTTGGAGGTTTACAAGTTCTATATTTTTTTGTCGCTGTGGCGTGGAGGTTTTAAACTTAAGGGTTATAGGCGCTCTATTCCGCATGAGAGCACTGAATGTGCCTGTTTTTTTTTCTGCACTTATTAAGGGCATAAGGACTGAAAATACGTGTCAATCGTTCGAGCTCTTTTTTCCCGCGTAACTCTACTTATTCGTATAATTATTCCAAATGTATGCTCAAAGTACACGGATCACACTTCACTTTGTTGCATCTTTCCTTTAGGTTTGACATCTATCGTGCAGTTGTTCTGTTAACTATTTTTGTGGTGTTCTGATGATGCATGCACGTGTTCGAAGCCTAAGGAAGGCACCAGATGAGAGAACGCAAAAGGCTTTGGGATCCCCTGAAAAACACGAAGGACTTTGAAAATGATTACTTTTCCGAAATTGGCGATCAATAACTCCACGTGTACATTATAAGAACACGCATGCTTATAGCAAATTAACAAGTAGCATGACGAGTATGAGTGAATAACTCTTGTTTTCCTATGAGGTAGTCTGCGTGCATGGAGTATGACAAAAGCAGGCCAGAAACGACATACTTCCAAGTGCCATTCTAGGTCGTAAACCAGAATCTTAGGGTAGATTATTTACACAAGGTGTAACCCCAACTCCGGTTTTTCGCTAATAGTGAGCCTCAGGAATTCTCTATGAGAGGGTGGATGTGATGCAATAACTATCCATAATTCAATAACTGTCCATCCATCGCTAACTTTGCGGGCAAATGTTGTCTAGAAAAATATCTTTTTTCAAGAACATTACTACAGATATGAGAAAAATTGCGAGTTGATGAAATAATTATAACTAAAGAGTTATTTTTACTCTAGATGACTTTGATCCCGCCAAAGTTACTGATGACATTCGTCAGCTCTACAAAACCCGCGAGGGTTGGCTGGCACCGTTTCCCTGGTGTGAGCACTTTTACCTCTCCTTTGATGACATTTACACCAGACTTAAAGTCATCAACAGAAATAAAACGGGAGGAAAAGCCACAGACCGAGTTGTCACGATGTCTGCGATCTTCAACCCGCACGAAGAATGTGAAGAACCAAGAGTTGTGTTAATGGAAGGAGAGCCTGGTATGGGAAAGACTACTTACTGCAAGAAAGTTGTTTTCAGTTGGGCTGCAAGAAAACACGCAACCGAAAATTGCTTCACAAACTTCCTAATGGTGCTTTTGATCAAATGTCGTGACGTTCACTCTGACCTTTGGGAGGCCATTGATGATCAACTTCTACCTCGAGATGTCGATGATGACCAAAGAAAGAGATTCTTCGACTTCATTCGCAACAATCAATCTAAAGTTATCCTAGTTCTCGATGGATTGGATGAAGTTTCCGAGAAGATGCTACGAATGTTTTCAGAAATTATTCAAGGCCGAGTATTGCCAAAATGTCGCGTGGTTGTTACGGCAAGACACGAAGCTGGAGTGAAAGTTCGAAAATATTGTGACACACTTCTGGAGGTGGAGGGATTCACTGATGAAGATGCAAGAAGCTTTATCAACAAATATTTCACAAAGAGGAAGGACTTGGCCGAAGAGCTTACAGACCGGTTGAGTTATGATCAAAAACTTGGAGACATGGCAGCAAATCCACTTAACTGTGCGCTTTTTTGTGTGGTCTGGGAAGAATTTAACGGCGCATTTCCAGAAAGCAGAGCGGAGTTGTACATGGAAATAGTGAAGTGTGTACTAAGAAGATACAGAGCAGAGAAGCAACTTTCAGAAGACGATGAGGACCCTATTGGACTTTACGAAAGCCAACTGAATCACCTTGGCTCGATAGCTTTGAAAGGTTTACTAGAGGACACCTTGGACTTTGACGAGAAAGGGCTTGGAAAATACAAAGCAAGTGATTTACCTGGACTTGGATTTCTTTCTGTTCAGTCCGGAGGGAGTAAACTAAGACCGACTAGACGTTATGGCTTTCTTCACAAGACTTTCCAAGAGTTCTTCGCCGCTTTGAATCTCGCTTGTCAGCTTATCAAGAAAGAAATAAGCACAGAGAGCATAGCAGCTGACAGACGATATCGCCATGAGCTGCAAGAAGTGCTTTTGCTTACATTTGGCATTCTAGCAGCATGGTGCCAGACAACAGCAGAGAACCTTGTAAAAAGTATGGCAACACAGTTAAACGATGGGGATAAGGAAGCCACTGATAGTGTATTTGTTCCATTAAAATGCATCGATGAATGCAAAAATGACTTTGATTTCTATGTTGAACTTGCCGTGACCTTTGGCTTTTGTCTTCAAATTAAAGCTCTTGATGTTTCTCGGTGGGGCTTACAGGGGGCTGAGGTTAACTTACTAGCCAACATTCTTTTTTCAAATAGAAGTGTGACACAGTTGAACTTGGCTGCTAACAACATTGGTAAAGCTGGTGTTGCTGCTCTGGCTGAGTGTCTGAAAGAGAATAGATCTCTGAGAGAGTTGAAATTGCCTGCTAATGATATTTGTGATGATGCTGCTGCTGCTCTGGCTGAGTGTTTAAAAAACAATACATCTCTGACAGAGTTGATATTGTCTCATAATGAAATTGGTGATGATGGTGCTGCTGCTCTGGCTGAGTGTTTGAAAGAGAATACAGCTCTAAAAGAGTTGAATTTGAGTGAAAATGACATAGGTGATGATGGTGCTGCTGCTCTGGGTAAGTGTTTGAAAGAGAATACATCTCTGACAGATCTAAATTTGTTTCATAATCATATTGGTGGGGCTGGTGCTGCTGCTCTGGCTGAGTGTTTGAAAGAGAATACATCTTTAACAAGTTTGTGTTTGACCTTTAATAAAATCGATGATGATGGTGCTGCTGCTCTGGCTGAGTGTTTGAAAAAGAATACATCTCTGACAGCTTTGAATTTGCCGTGGAATAAAATTGATGATGATGGTGCTGCTGCTCTGGCTGAGTGTTTGAAAGGGAACACATCTCTGACGTGGTTGAATTTGGATGATAACAACATTGCTGAAGCTGGTGCTGCTGCTCTGGTTGAGTGTTTGAAAGAGAAAACATATCTGACAAAATTGCGTTTGCTAGGAAATCATATTGGTGAAGCTGGCACTGCTGCTCTGGTTGAGTGTTTGAAAGGGAATACATCTCTGACAGAGTTGGCTTTATCTTTTAATTTAAGGGGTTATGATGGTACTGCTGCTCTGGCTGAGTGTTTGAAAGAGAATACATCTCTGAAACAGTTGACTTTGTCTTTTGATACAAGTGGTTATGATGGTGCTGCTGCTCTGGCTGAGTGTTTGAAAGAGAATACATCTCTGACAGCTTTGAATTTGTCTAGTAATAAAGTTGGTGATTCTGGTGCTGCTGCTCTGGCTGAGTGTTTGAAAGAAAATACATCTCTCAAAGCTTTAACTTTGTCTTATAATAAAATTGGTGATTCTAGCGCTGCTGCTCTGGCTGAGTGTTTGAAAGAAACTATATCTCTGAAAGAGTTGAATTTGTTGTTTAATAAAATTGGTGATGGTGGTGCTGCTGCTCTGGCTGAGTGTTTGAAAGAGAATACATCTTTGACAGAGTTAGATTTGTTGTTTAATGAAATTGGTGATGTTGGTGCTACTGCTCTGGCTGAGTATTTAAAAGAGAATACATCTCTGAAAAAGTTGAATCTGTTAGGAAAGAAAATTGGTGATGATGGTGCTGCTGCTCTGGCTGAGTGTTTGAAAGTAAACACATCTCTGACAGTGTCGTAGTGACCTTGAAATTACTTTGGTGATTGTGGTGCTGCTGCTCTGACTGCTGTGCGGGGAGTGTCATCCAACCAAGTTACATGGAATTGTCGGAAATCGTCTGTTTACATAATCTAACCATTTTAACGCGTTTATAATTTCGTTGTTTAGTCCACCGGAAAGGGATAGGCATCGAATCTGTCATCATTAGTAACTGTAACCAATCAAAGGAAACATTCACCAATTGTATATCCTTTGTTCAAAAATACACCACGTGTGTTTTAAAAAAAAACTCGGCACATTGTGAGCGAAAAATATATCTCTTAAAAAATTATATCGTGAGTGACTGATTTTAGCGCGAGTTAATCGGAAAAACTGCTGTGTTGTCAGGCAATTATCTTATTCCCAACACAAAGTGGCACCTCCGACGGGACAGGAACAAAAGAAAGGGAAAAAAATCAGATCTGACGCTGGGATTTTACAATGGAGAAACTGCTCGTGGATCTGAACACACAATTACAACTGCTTAACCTCACCAAGGATAAAAGCAAAAGAATCATCGCAAAGGGAAACGTGGAAGGTGCGGAACGTCAAATTCAGTCTTTGAGGACTATCGTTACAAGAATGGAGCAATTTAAGCTTCAAATCGAGCAAACAAAAATCGCAAGGAGAGAGCAACTGGATGACGAATCAAAATGGAGCCTCACAGTTGAGGCCGCGCAAACATCTGCTGATGAGAACGTCGCGTACTTACGAAAGTGGTTAACAGAATGGAAGCAAAAGGAAAGCCTTACAGAAAAGCAGGGAGAACAAGCCCTTTTAGAGAAATCGAGGAAAGATCAGCTTGATTTTGAACGTGCACAACTGGAGATGAGGCTAACCTATGAGAAGCAAATCGGGGAGACAAGGAAACCATGCGAAAACCACAGAACCGACGTTGACTCAAGCAGCGAAAACCGCCAAACTTCCTAAGCTTGTCATTACAAAGTTTAGAGGCGAGCTAACAGATTCGCCCCAGTTCTGGAGTCAGTTTAAAACAGAGATCGACAAGGCAGAAATAGCCGGCGTGACGAAGTACTCCTACTTAAAGGAACTCGTAGACCCAAAGATACGAACGGAAATTGACGGTTTGCCCTTTCCATCAGAGGGATACGAGCGCGCGAAGAACATCTTGTCAAGGAAGTATGGCCAAACAAGCGAGGTCGTTAACGTGTACGTGGAAAACATCATGTCTTTGCCTACTATTGGTGGAACCCAGCCGGCCAAAATCCACGATTTCTACGAGAAACTTTTTTTCAATGTGCAATCGTTAGAAACAATGGGGAAACTGCGAGATGTGAATGGATACGTGCGGATGACTATAGACAAGCTGCCAGGGATAAGAGGAGATCTTGTGCGAACGGACGATTCTTGGCGAGAGTGGAATTTCCCAAAGTTAGTGGATGAGCTCCGCAAATGGACAGAAGAAACCCGATTCAATCTAAGCAAAGTGACAAGCCCTGGCGTGACAAGAATTTTCAAGTTCAACAGCAGACTGATGGCAGAAACCGGGGATGCGTTTATTGTGAAAACCATGATCACAAATCGATTGACTGCAAAACGGTTGCAACTGTCGACGATCGCAGGAAAGTACTCAGCAACAAACGCCTATGTTTCAACTGCACCGGAAGCAAACACAGAGCTGACGATTGCAAGAGCCGTTCCTTGTGCCAGATTTGTCATAGAAGGCACCACACCTCCATCTGCAACAGCAGAATCAGTAACCAGTTAATGACAGCTACTTCAATGGAAAGACCATCTGTGATCTATCCGGTCGTCGTAGTGGAAGTGCTGTGAGTCAAGTGTCGCGCGTTGTTAGACACCGGTGCCGGAAGCTCGTACGCTTCAGCATTTTGTTTCTCTGAATTTCTGATCTGGATGAGTTACGGAGAATTATCTACTTATTTTAAGTCATATTTGTTCATTTGACCCCAATTTACGCGAAAGCCAGGCTGAAGTACTTCAAATCAGGATGTAAAAGGTTTTCGTTTTCTTTCTTAGATAGAAGGCTGAGTTGGCTGTTAAGAATTCTTTTTTACTCCCTTTTCTTTAAAGCTCCTCTATATATCAAAGAAACTTATTATTAAGAACTCGCAGAAACCTAGTGAAAAAATAATTATAATATATTCTTCTGTTGTAGTCCTCCATAAATCACGGGAATGGTGGTATTTTAATTATCCTTTATTCATTAATTCTACCCATTTTTTCCCTTAGGTTATAGCTCTGTTGAGTTAATTACTCAGCTTCAGCAAATGCAACTCGATGCCAGCAAAGGCAATGACGAGACAGACCTAAAAATAGAGTTGAAGAAAATTGCTTCAGACAAGGGCTTCACAATTGTTGACAATGAAGGATCAGGAAATTGCATGTTCTACGCTTTGTCAGATCAACTGGAATTTGCTATGGGATTCAAAATCAAGTATGACGAATTAAGACGAATATTGGTCCAGTACCTTAGAGAAAACCCTGAACTAGTAAGTTGATACCTTACACTATATGTTACCCGCTGTTACTTTAAAGAGCACCATATAGGTTAGATCTACAGGTGGGCCAACTGGCCAACACATCACTATTTCGCCTATAGGGGATAATAATGATCATAAATACTCTGACATCAGCGTTTAGTATAAACCGCACCGCGCGCCCATCGGTAAGAGATTAGCAAGTACCACTCACGGCCTTCTGGTATGTACGTAAATAATTTTCTACTCTAGTGTCAGTGAAAGTGGTGGATAATTGCCTTGCCTCTTTGCCTCGATAAATACCTACCCCTATTCACCCTTATTTCGAAGAATAATTGTTTGATATTTCTGGATTGCCCTTTAAAACACGTGTAGTTCAAGTGTTTTGGTAGAGACCAGGTCCGGGTCACGGATGAACTCAGACCTCCTTGTGAAAATTAAAGGGCTTTGTCTTGTGGAGAAAGCTGCCAACCCAAGGATTTTTGAAAATACTTTGCACTTGAATCTCCCCCAGACAGGACAATCTTTGGATAACCTTGACTCTAGATAAGGTGGACTCCACATATTCAATGTTTCAGAAGAGCAAATTCAGGAGTTGAGACTGCTACATCCAATGTAGATCGTTGTGTTCATTACTCTGATTGGTAGTATCCGTTCTTACTGTTGTTTAGTATCTCTTTGTTATTTTCTCATTCGATGACTCCTTCCAACGTAATCAACCTGGTCCAATGTACCATTAGCTTTGCACTCCAAGTTTTGTTCACTAATTTACCTTTCTCACAGCCGGATGGAACAAATCTGTTTAACTTTGTCCATGGACATCAATCATGGGATGATTACTTAACATACATGGAACAAGGTGGCGCTTGGGGTGACCATGTCATTCTGTGTGCCGCAGCAAACTGCTATAAAACTTGCATTCATGTGGTCAGCAGTCTTTCCGCTGTTCACGATGTTATCTTACGGCCACAATGTCCTGTTGACAAAAGCAGGACACTTGTGTTGGGACACATCCATGAAGTACACTATGTCAGCCTTCATTCCACA